GGGTTAACAACATGGAAGGAAAGTCATTCTCAGCTTACGGCTTGGAGTTTGCACTCATATAGTCTCATCTCAGCGGTTAACATGGGAATCGTTCTGGACAACCGAATGAGGAACATGTTAGCAGTTTGGAGGGAGCCATTGTCTCAGCTAATAGAATTTGACCCTGTAATTACGCATTGTTAAAGGGATCAAAATGGCCTGGAGTTTGATGTCAGTGATTCTCACCTCAGCTTTTTAACACGCAAAATCATTCTGGATGACCGAATGAGGAACGGGTTAACAGTTTGGAGGGAGCTGTGTCATCAACTTAGCTAAATTCGACCCTGTAATTACGTACGGGCAAAGGGATCAAAATGGCTTAGAGATGGTGTCAGGACTATAAGTATGGACGAACCGAGCGACGTTCGGATAAGGTACGGATTGTCATCTGGGGAATCAGAACTATGGTTTTGAAAAATCTCGCCTGAGTCATTAACTTGATTCGGAAGCGAGTCGCCCTTTTAGCTATAAATAAGGAATGACCCGATCCGGTGACCTTGCTTACAGTTTGAAAAGGGTTACCTCAGACCCCTAATATGGATGATACGAGCCAGAGAGAATAGTTCGGAATGCATCGGAATTATGGGTTTGGAAGGGAGATAGTCTCACCTCAGCTTGTTAACACGTGGGATCATTCCGGATGACCGAATGACGAACGGGTTAACAGTTTGGAGGGAGCCGTCGTCTCAGCTGAGAGTTTGACCATGTGGTCACGATCAAAACGGCTTCGAGGGATTCACCTCAGCTAAAGGAGTTTTGACCCCGTGGATCACGAACGATAAAGGGATCAAAACGGGCTTAGGAAAGGTGTCAGAACAAATATGGAAAAGACCCCTAATATGGATGATACGAGCCAAAGAAAAAGGTTCGGAATGCATCGGAATTATGGGTTTGGAAAGGAGATAGTCTCACCTCAGCTTGTTAACACGTGGGATCATTCCGGATGACCGAATGACGAATGGGTTAACAGTTTGGAGGGAGCCGCCGTCTCAGCTGAGAGTTTGACCCTGTGGTCACGATCAAAATGGCTTGGAGGGATTCACCTCAGCTAAAAGATTTTTGACCCCGTGAATCACGAACGATAAAGGGATCAAAACGGGCTTGGGAAAGGTATCAGAACAAATATGGTCAAAACGAATGATGTTCGGTAACCTGGATTGTCATCCGTAGAATCAGAATTCCCAGATAGATGACTGAATGACGAGCGGTTTGGAGGAAGACATTTGTTTCAGCCTGATTTTATGACCGAACAGAGGGATCAAAACGGCTTGGAAACAATATCAGAAATATCAAGATACATGAGCCGAATGATGTTCGGCAACACAGAAAAGGTTATGAGCGAGAGAAATCGAAGAAAAAACAGTAGAGAAACATCAACACAGTTAAAGAAAAATATCCAGTTTATTCTTCGGCATTACTAGCCGGAAAATACAAAAGAAAAAGAAGAGAAAGCAAAATTTTACAAGGCTATACTACTGGAGGACTGCCGTTCGGGGAAGATGGAGGTTGGGAGCTCCCTGCCTGCGCTGCATCATCAGGCACTGCTTTTGTCCTCTTCTCCATAATCCGGTCATATGTGTTCCCGAACAGATCATCAAAGCCTAATTCATCAGGGTCGAACGGCTTAGGGAAATGTTCCAAGATCAGATCGAGGTTCCTATCTAAAAGCAGATCCTGACTTTGCGTCACAGTTTTCTCGGTCAGGACATCCAGAAAAGATTTCCCTTCCGACGTGCTGTCCAGGAGTTCAATGCCTGCCTTGATGGGATCCTCGCTTTCACGTAAGAATTGGCCAAGATGAGGTCCCAGGAATTGCCGGGCTGTGTTCTCCAGAGCGACGTTCAGCCCCTTACCCCGTTGATAATCAACTATCGATTGATTGGCAATCTGGGAAGTATTGAGAGTATAAGGTTCGGGGAGATTGTCACCATCGACCTTGTCAAATTTGATCCCGGCAGATTCGGCAGCAAGCACCTTGGCCCGGAGTTCCTTAATCTCCCGATCGCGACGTCGGGTCTTCTCTTGCATTGCAGCCAGGGCAGCATTCGCTTTCTCACCCTCTTTGGCGCGTTCTTGTAAATCCGCCTCTAATTTCCGGGCGGCAGAAAGCAGGACCTGGCTGTCATCCCGATCGCTGGCCAGGATTTTCATTTCCTTTTCGGCCGTAAGGAAGGCCTTATGATAATATACACCGGCCTGAAGATAAGTAACAAAGGAAGTCAGAAAAAAATGAACAAACAAAAGAGTAGGAAGGTATGGACCAAGATTAAATGTACCTTGAGCGCTTCTTGATGACCTGCTTCAAGAAGATCTGACCAATGAGTCAAGTTCGTGAAACTGGGGGGAACCTTAATCGTAGTGCTGCACCACATGGATGATGGCATTAGCCCGAACAGGTATCTCCCTTCTGCTCTAGGCCCCATATTTGAAAATTCAACAAACATCCGATCGTCGGCCGGCATGTCAGAAAGAGCTGGAGTTTTCATTGTGGCAGGCACAGATCTTTTTGGCTCAGCCTCCGGGCCAGTCAGATCCACTACATGATCAACCGGGATGAATTGGGTAGCGTCATCCACACGACGTTTCTTACGTACCTGGTCGGCGTCGTTTGAATTCCCGGGCGTCATTTTCTCCTTGCCCTTCCCCAAGGGGGCTGACGTGGAAATAGGAGTAGAACACCGAACGGCAGTAGAAGGAATCACACCTGCAAGGAAGGAAAATAAAATTAGAGTGAAGTTTAAAATTGAGAACGAACGGGTTGAGGCCAAACAAAGCTTACCAATCCCAGCAGCTAGCAACTTGGAGGGGGTTATGTAAGAACGGATATTTCGTGAACCTCCCAAATGCAGAGATTCAACTTGCGAAAGTAGAACTGCATCAGGTCTAGGCTCAGAATCCCGAACCGGATATGCATTCCATCGATCGGGGAATGGAAGTGATGAGCCTATGCGAACGAAGAGGAACCTCTCTTCCCAATCAGCTGGCGGTGGAGGGTTGTCACACTAGTGTAGAAAACACTTTCTATATGGGTTAAAAAACACTTTTTATGTCGGTTCCCGTAACGACATAGTAGCCAGCGATATAGAAAGTCGGGCACTTTTCGTGTTGGGTAGTCATACCCCTTATTGAATGTTTTTATAACGGTTACGAATTTAACCGTTATAAAATGTTTTCCGTGTCAGTCCAGTAATACGCCATATAAAATCCTTTTTATATGGGTTAAATCACCAACCGTTATAGAAAGTAGAATTTTGTTTTTAAAAATAAAATAAAAGCATTTACAGATTTACTGTCACTTATATATATATATATATATATATATATATATATATAAGTGATTTTATATTTTAAAATGTAATAATTTTATTAAAACAAGCTTTTCTTTTTAACTTTATATATACAATAATATATATTACACCAAAGTACTTAGGTTCAACAACAAAAGTACAAGTGAAATTCTCGAACCCAGCTCACAGTCTTGCTGTTGAGCTTGAAATATTTCAAATACATCACTAACAGTTACAACCAATGTTCTAAAAGTCGTTAGGCGCTAGTCGAGCGGTCAAGCACCGCCTAGCGGCTAGCGCCTAGGCGGACTAGGCGCCAATTAGTCACCAACTAGGCGGCCAACTCGGTGAAGCCTTAACTAGACACTAAAATTTATCTTCCAACAATCTGTGAAGCTGTTGCATTCACTATCCCTTCTTCTGTCGTTGCATGGAAGTCATACTAATCATCCATTGTCGAAAAATGGGGAATGTCTGAGGTGAGTGGAAAGATTCAGCTGTGTTGAACTTTGTCAGTTTGATCCTATTCTGCTTCAAGAATTCAAAACGGAAAATGATGATCAGGTTTGTGATTCACCACCTTGGGCGGATTTGCAAGGGGGGCCAGGGGGGCCGGTGCCCCTGCTTTAGCGGCCCAAGTATAGGAAGGGGTAGGAGCGTAGGGAAGTAGGAGGGGCCGGTACATGGAGTTTTCCGGCAAGGGTGAGCTGATTGAACGCCGTCTATTGGTCTTTGAGGCTAGGAAGACGATGAAGTTGCTGGTGATTTTTGTAATTATAAGGGGAACGACGTCGTTTGACGTCCCCCAGTTAATAAAAAATTAAATCAGCCCAGCTGCCCTAGTCCAATCGTCCCAAGCTCAGCAGCCCAAACTTAGCAAACAAAGCCCTGAAACTCACTTCGGCCATCGAGAAGCAGCACCAGCGCAATGCTAGATGTAGCTGAAGCCCCGAAAGTCAGATTTACACCTTTGAAGGCTGTAGTGTAAATTAGTTATTGATTTAATGTGTATTAATGTTTAATGTATTATACGAAGATGAAAGTAAATATGTAATTATTAAAAATGAATGTATTAAAAACAAAATTGTTAAAATTCGATTAACTTATGAAGCTATAAAATAGTTAAAAGTTGATTACCTTATGACTTTACTTTATGAATAAATTTAATACTATATATGTATTAAACTATAATAGTTTGAACTATTTTTTTTTCACTAATTATTATAGCTTTATTAGGGAATGTTAACTGAAATCATTTTCGAAACATGAGAACATGTAACTTGCATTTAACACCATTACATTACCGTTTTTGAGTGAATTTGTTATGCTCTATCGCTCTGGTTTGCTACAATAATGTTATTATTAATTTGATGGTTTTCCGATTGTGCCCCTCCTTATATTAATTCCTAGTTCCGCCACTGTTCACCACCAGATTTTGGATGTTGATGTGCAATATGTAATATCCTGCACTCAGCGAGCATTGGCGGGTGTGGCAAATGGAAATTGTGACCATTGAAGCTCAACCTATGATTTATTTCAAGTGTCTACTTAGTAAATGGTTCCATCGTATACATTTTGCACTACTTTTTCAGTTTTCTATTGACAGCTTTTCATTCATCCCATCTTCATGTTATTTTAGGATGTCCAGACTCCAGAATGAATGAGAAATGTTACCTGGTGTCCATTCTGGGAAATGAAATCAGGTTCAGCAGACCTGGGTTTAGGAACACCTTTCAGCATCTTTTTTCCGTAGCTCTTCATAGAGCTCACTCTCAAAAGGTCTTCTTTTTTTGTCCTTCTAACTGGAATTGTTCCTTCTGGACACCTCCCATTCAAATGCCAAAGCTGAGGAATAAGGTTTGACTCATCATTCCCACCCTCCTTTTCTGTGCTTACCTCTCCATCCTTAAACAGCCCTTCTGGATGGTAACTTGGCCTCATCTACCACACATGCCAACAAAAAGAAAAACAAAAATCATCCAAATTCCAATTAAAGCATAAATAACATTTAAAAGAGAGAAGGAAAAAAAAGGTACCTGAATTGTGTGGTTCTTGATATGATGATGATCAAAAGCTGGTTGGTGAGAAATATGGATGCAATCAATGATATCACCATCTGGGCTCTGCTTTTTTGCGCGTTTGAGGATGGGGGAGGGGTAGCACCGGATAGAAAGAAACAAAGATGAGTGCTTGAGAATCATACATAAACCCAATGAGAAAAAGAAGATAAAGTACATAACTAAATTAAAGCTGTCAATCTCATATAGTATTTTTGGCCTCAGATTCAACAATGAGAAAAAGAAGATAAAGATTGGAAGACTTAAAGCAAAGAACCCTTTGTTTAAGGAAGGAAATAAAGACTTAAGAGTAACAAACATGATATTGTTGGAATAAACTGCTATCTGCTTCTACTCAAAATTGAAAAAACCCAGATGCAATGGAATACTTTACATCTCAATTTGGATGTTTTGGCAATACTAAGCCCAAAAAGAATCAAACAAGTAGTGCACAACTCACAAGTTCAACACCAGAAACTTATATATGAAAGGAATACTACCTTATACACAACTGCCAAAAGAAATCCAGCAAGATTATGGTAGGCAAGTCCACAAAATAGAAAAAAATATTACTAAATAAGTAAGTTTATTTTCTAAAATCATTTCAGGATGCTTAGCAAATGAAAACTAAACTATTCAATTTCCTAAAATAGTAAAACTACAACATTACTATCATCTGGGAACACAGAAGTGTCCATGGCTTCCTCAAAATAGAAATATTAAAATATTTCCGTTTATAAAAAAAAATAGGCATATTAGAAATACAAAGGTCTGAACATATAGTAACAAATTCTCAACTAAGCACAAATTTTTGAACTATCGTAATAGCTATAATAACACAATGAAAATATCTTTAGTTCTTTACCTGGACTCCTGGACAGAGTCGAGAAGGCTCAGAAGTTGATTCGATACTCAAAGAAGAAGGATATCCAGAAATGGAAGAGAAGAAGACTCGACAGTCAGCACTCGTTCACTATGGCGGCCGTTCCATAGCAGAGAAGAAAGCGTCGTATTAGGTAAATAGAGGTACGCCAGTTTTGCGAAGAGAAGAAAGCCATCCTTGTCAACTGGGCTCTAAAAAATAAAAAAGCTAGGATTTTGAAGTACCCTGACTGCTTTTCCAGCAAAATAACTTTTCCAGCAAAACAAATGGACTCTGCAACACCCATAGGGATATAATCTGGAAGAATGCCATGCTTTAGCTTGTTGCTTACTTTTGTGGTTACTTGTATTACTGCTACTCCATAAGTGAAAAGTAGAGCATGGATTTTTTTGCCTACATTCAGTCATTCAGCCATTTTTATCTATGTATGCAGTAAAAAAATATACAAACCAGCTTCCATAATTAATGATTTCATGCCATAAATTATAAAACAATGGGAGCTTCCATTAAACAACTCAATAAGCAACGAACCTAACAAGTTCAACAATAGATTACCATCCCAAATAACATATTATCTTAAGTTATCATATTCTCAGTAACTTAGCAAATATTCAAATAACAGAAAAGTTTAAGTTAAGAGAAACGTTTGAGTGAGTTTTATTAAATTCAAACGTTAAGAGAGAAGTTTGAGTGAGTTATTCATATATTAACTTAAGTTTAAGTTAAGAGAAAAGTTTGAGTGAGTTTTATTAAATTATAAGAGAAACTTGAGAGTTTAAGTTTAAATAAACTTACAAAAGGTTTTAGATTTTTAGTAGGTTTAATTAACATTAACAGATCAACTTAAAGTAAACCTAATCAACTTAAATTGAGAGGAAGTGAAGTTGGGAGAAGGCAGGAAATAAGTCTCGATAAAATCTGAAAAATAAAGTGGGCGGGCGGTAGCTGAATTTTAAAACCTAAAACCTATGGCCGATTTTCTTAAATCGCCGATTCATGTATACATCGGCCGAATAATCGCCCCAGGCGTCCAGAAACCGCAGACAGAAACTGAGAGCAGCGGCAACGGCGAGCGGCGGCGGATGAGCTGCTGCAGCGACGATCGACGGTGCTTCGTCTATTAATGGAGAGCAGCAGTCGACGGTGCTTCATTTTCTTCTTGGTTGAGAGCAGCTGACGGCGGTGCTTCAATTCGTCTCTTTGCCCTACTCTCAACTATTGTTGTTTGTTTTTTACTTTTATTTTACAAAATTGATATTTCATAAGGGTTACCAACGAGCTGACATAGAAATGTTTTTTTTAAATTATAAAAGAGACCCCGTTTAAAACATAAGTTTTCGAAAATTATATAAATGACCCTGTTTTTGTGAACTATGTCGGTTCCTTTTCAAACCGTTATTGATAACATTTTATATTTATAATATGTACCCACTACAGTTACTCGAAAATTTCATTATTTATGAATATGACCCCGTGTCTACATATTATAACGGTTCTAATTGAACCCATATTAAAAGCTAGTTATAGAATGTGTTTTTTGCACTAGTGTCAGTAAAGAACTGGCGGTTCGATCGAGCTACCAGTTTGAGATAGCCTGTGGTCCAGAAGGGTTGGTAGCAGTAATGATACAGGAACAGGTCCACACTAGGAACAATACCCAACTCTTGGCATCGGAGAATGAAGCCGTCATGAAGACGATAGGAACTAGGTATGAACTGGGCCGATAACACAGAGACCCTTTTCAGAAATTCTATCACGAATGGGTGCATAGGGAAGTGAAGTCCGGCCACCAAGGAATCTAAGTGTACTAGAACGAACCCTGGTCGATGCCTCATGGGATGCTTGATAAATCTGGCATAGAATTCCCTGGGAGGGGGCAAGAGTTGACGGAGTTGCCGTTCAGCGTCCTCTGGGAGACGTTGCCTCTGTTTCCGAATACGGTGAAAGTGCAGAGGAATACGGGCTGGCCGTTCGGGCATTCCCTTGTTATAGACAGTGAGGTCATCACCTGATAAACACCCATCATCTGGAACAGGTTGTTCGAGCTGCTTAACCTTCGAAGTAACGGTATCAGGTATTTGGGATGACGAACCGCCACATTTGTCAGTAGGTGCTTTTCCTCTGGAACGGTGAATAAGCGGCATGTCTTCTTCTTCTGAAGAACCGGTGGAAAAGAACATAAAGCACAGAAGTCTGAGGATTTCTAGAGAGAGAGATCTTAGAAAGAAAAATAAGGAAACAATAAGAGAAATGAGGGGCAAGCACCTCTCTATAAATAGGGAAAGTGCCGCCCAAAACCTTAATCCATAAACAACACGTGGCATTAAGTGGTTATGATTAATCAGGGTGTATTTATGGTTCATTGTTAGGCACGTACCTCGAACGGGAAATAAAGAAGCATGATTGCGAATACTGGTTAACCAGGCAAGCGAACGTCGAACGGACACTTACGTTTTGAGGCAAATCTTTTCACACAAAGAAAAGCAACGAGGTCCATGGGAACAGCAAAATACTACTCAGATCGCCGATTACCGAACAGTGAGCCAAATAACTAAGATGTTTCAAACTAGCCGAGTGACGAACGGGCTCACAGAGAATTAGCAAAGATCACAGAGAGGTGCTGGTTAGAAAAAATGCTAAGTCATAAAAAATGATCTGAAGCCCGAACGGCTATCAACATATGAAGGAAGCCAAGTGCGGGTAGACTATCAGAAACATCTGAAGCCAGAAAAACTGCTAAGTCCTAAAAAATGATCTGAAGCCCGAACGGCTATCAACATATGAAGGAAGCTAAATGCGGTAAGTTGACAGAAACGTTTAAAGTTAGAAAACACTGCTAAGTCCTAAAAAGAAGGGGGCTAGTCCTTGGTAAATTGTCAGAACCCTCCACTGCCCGAGCGGCAATCATACGGTGTTAGGAGTGTTAAGTAAAAATAGTCAGAAAACTGTTAAGTCCTACAAAACGGACCGAATCCCGAATGGTGAGCAATCACTCAATAAACGCAAAAAAGATAATATAAGAAGCTTTGTGCAAAACAAAAGATGTGTATTCATCGGCTCTACTGGCCGGGAAATACAAGCTACTTAAAGAGAAGAGAATTACAACGATTGATAAAAAATTAAATATCTAAATTTCTGGCCAGGGGCCATCTCTTCTCCGTCTTCACCCTCGTATTCATCATCATCAGATGAGGGTTCAGGCTCTCTCCCAGCAGCCCGATCAGCTCCCCGCTGCAGATCTCGCTGAAATTTTTCAAATTGAGCTTGTATGACTTCATCCTGGGGAAGATCTGAAGCCTAAACCGGCCTCCCAAGATTGTTCTGAAGTTGGGCTACAAAAGGACGTAGCAGGACCTGGCTGATCTTGGCATAAAGATCCGAAACAATGGAGTCATTCCACTTCTTGCTCTCAGAATCCTTATCCAAAAGAGCCACCCCTACCGAGAGCCGACCCACACCCCTAGGAAACCCTTTCAAGTACGCACCAAATGCGAACGGGATTTGCGTCCTGGTGTGATCATCCTTGATGATGGAGAATTCATCGGAGGATTTGAATGATTCCCGGACAGCGGATAGATCCACATTCACCTCATATGGTCCGTCCGGGATGCTAGAGGGCATCTCCTCAAATTTGATTTGTGCGGCCTCGGCAGCGATGACCTTAGCTTGGGAAGCAGCAAGTTGGACCCGAAGGGTACCAAGCTCAGTATCCAGCTTTTGTTTTTCCTCCGCAAAAGCTTTCCGTTCGGCCTCCAGGGATGTGATGGCAGCAGCAGCAGTTTGCTCAGCAGAGGATTGAGCAACGATTAATTCTCATTCCTTGGCCAGACGGGCTTCCCGCATTTGCAAAGTGTACAATCCCATCTACAAAGTGTCGTTCGAGAGTTAGTACTGATTACAGAGAATAAAATGGGAACGAAGCACAAAAGATAATATACCTTCAGTGCGGTCAAGGCCAGACACTCTTCGGATTGCTCGACCGGTAGTTAGGGAAGAGAGAAGTTGTTAAACCAGGAGGATGTTGACCAGATCTGGCTCGCGGAAGAACCAGCTCTTTCTAGCACCTCATGAACAGGATCCGACAAAGAGATCCGTTCGACCTGACCAGTGATATGGTCGGTATGAACCCCGCCTACGTTCGAGGTTGCCCCCTGAACGGAATCAAAGTGTTGGGAAAACTGGTGCAGCTGATCAGAAAATTTTATAGGACAACAATTAGGCCTGCATTATTGTATGGCGTAGAGTGTTGGGCGGTGAAACAATGTCACATTCAAAAGATGAGTGTGGCAGAGATGCGCATGCTGCGTTGGATGTGTGGGCATACTAGGAAAGACCGCGTGAGGAATGAGACAATCAGACAAAGGGTGGGAGTAGCACCTATTGAAGACAAGATGCGGGAGTCGCGCCTACGGTGGTTTGGTCATGTGCGTAGAAGACCGAGTGATGCACCTGTTAGGCGAGTTGAGATGTGTGGAGAAGAGGCAGGGAAGAGAGGGAGAGGAAGACCCAAACAGACGTGGGTTAGGGGAGTTCGAAGTGATATGCTTCTTCTGGGGTTGGATGAGGGCATGACTTTGGAGAGAACTAAGTGGAGGGCGGGTATTCACGTGAAGGAGTGATCTTGATAATGTTTTTCCCTCATCTTTTTTTTCCTAGTTTTTTTTATCCTTATATATATATGCATTATTTGCAGCCTTTTTATTTTATCATTTTTATATATATTCATCTTTTTTATATTATCTTTTCATAATAGCTTATCTTTTTATCTTTATTCCTTCTTTTCCTTTTGGTTGTGATATCATGTATCGATTCATGTTAGCCGACCCCAATATCTTTTGGGACTAAGGCTTGGACGTTGTTGTTGTAGGCTCCGATTGCTGAACGGCCGGTGCAGGTTCAGATTGTGGAGCAGTAGTGGTGGGTGAATCAACTTTTGGATTTTTCTTCATTTTCTTCTTCCTTTTCCCGACCCGCCAGCAAAAAGCACACGGCTGTCATCCATGGTGGCTTCTGGATTGGGAGCTGAAAAATGACAAAGGAAAAGATTAGTACCAAGCGGCCTTAGCATGTGAGAAACTAGAAAAAAGAAGGGAACGTTTCTCGCACGGGAAGGACCGCTAGGACCATGGCACTTGATTCTCAAAACAAGTAAACTCACGAGAACGGGCAGTACCTATCCCGGCTTTAACAAGCCGATCAGGAGTCAGGTAGGTCATGATATCACAACACTTGTCCTTCTCCACAGCGAGTACGTCCATGTAGATTTCCTCAGTGAGAACTGGGTCGGGAGTCTTGCGAGGGAAGGCGTTCCATTTACGAGGGATCAACCCGTCCGGGATAGACACGAAGAAGAACCTATCCTTCCATTTCATCCTCGGATTTCGTGCCATCAGAGCTTTCACCAGAGGAAGATGAACTGCTAGGAAGGTCCTCCGCCTCCGCCCTAGTATTTGTCGCCGTTTCAGTCGAACCACCGGCGAATGGGACTGTGATGACGTCCACAATAGCAACATCACGGTCATCTCCATGGGAGGCCATCTCCGAATCAGGGGAATGCCGTTGAGAACTCATCTCGACCGAGCCAGAAATGAGGAGAGAAAGTAGAGGGAGGGAAAGTACCTGAACAACGAAAGCTTGAAGAAAATTCAGAGAGAGCAACGATGCGAAGAAAATTGCAGAATCGAAACCCGGATTTGAAAAGTTAAAGGCTAATTTATAGCCTTTAAACCGCCGTATCGAGGACCAATCAGGAAGCGACACGTCACTAGAAACATTTAAGCTAAACGCGTGTCCAATGAAAAGACTAAACGACGGTTATCATGATGAATATGGGGAAAATAAAACGACAACCGTCAAATCACAGTATGAGGGACTGACCACTCCTGTACCCCGATCGCCATTCGGCAGTGCAACATTTGTGTTCATACTTCCTAATGCACTCACTGTCATTCGAGACATCGGAAGTTGGGGACTTGTGTTGGGATATTGATCCAGAGGCCCAATACCCGGATCAAAAAGGCCCAGGATACCCGGCCCAAACAACGGATCCATTACCCTATGATGAGTAGATCCAATGAAGAATCCATACCGAACGGGGTTCGGTCCGGGTAAAGGCCGGCCCAGAAAGAAGATATACCGAACGGAGTTCGGACCAAATATCATACTTGGGCCAATTTGGCAGTGTCATTCGCATGGTCCAACATCCCGTTCAAGCAACGGGCAACCAGCAAGTGGCCAGGTGCAATTAATGCCAGATTGTGACATCAACAAGTGGAAACATGGGTGATCAAGTCGGTGGAACAACGGCCAATCAGCATAGAGCAGCCCATGCTCTCCATTAGTATAAATAGAAGGTTTAAAATCATCGTAAGAGTTAGCATTTCAATACTCAGGCTCTAGAATAACATTATTATTCTTGTTTCTTGTATGAAAGCATTATTCCGACCTACCGATCGGGAATTTCCTTGTAATCAGACAGGTTAATTAATACAAGTGGGCTCTTGGGTATTAGTGAGTTCATATTTTATATTTTATTATACACTTTGATTCTTGTCCATTCCTGATATATCCAAAGTTCGTGTTGGACTTTCGGATCTACGGGACTTACCTTCAACACATACCAAAATATAACATGAATTATCTAAAAAGAAAAACTAACAATATATATATATATGAACGGTTCGGTCCGGTATTTTTCGGTTCTCAAAATCTAGGACCGGTCCCGTACCCGTTTCAAACGGTACGGTTTCGGTACGGGATAAAAATCTATAGAACCGTTTAAATACCCGTTATTTGGTTCGGTACCATTACGGGACGGTTCGGTACCGATTCGGTTCGGGTTTTATGCCCACCCCTAAAATGTTCAATCGGGAAGGCACTCAAATGAATTTTTGAAGATAACAGCGTAGTTAAACAACGCAGTATATTTGAGAAAATCATTTGACTGAGCCTTTTTGGTTGAAGTTTTAGCTGAAATTTGGTATGAGTAAACTAGACTTAATGAAGAAAATGTTCGAAAATTTTTATCAAAAAATTCCACCGGAAACTGCCCCAAATGGCGACGGTCGGACAAAGCCTCCTACAAAAGGGCTTATTTGCATTTTTTTATATAAGTTTGAGGGCTTATTTGATAGTTCTCCTAATAATTAATACCGAGTATACAATTGGTTTGAAAGTTTCGTGTACTAAATACTCCAAAGAAAGCTCCCAATTACCCGCACGGGTAGCTCAGTTGGTCGAGTGGTGAGAAAATTGGACTAAGTGACCAAGGTTCGAAACTTACAGTGACCGTGTGGAGGTCACATAACCTGAAATAAGGCTGGACCTCTGGTGTGCACATGTATAAGGCCTACCGTCGCTTTGCTGACTGAGTCACTGTGATTAACTCCCACACTATCCTGTCGGGTTGGGGTGGGGCTCCTGTGGTGGGAGATTCCACCTTTTTTACCATTGATCCAAAAGGTGGAATCTCCCACCTCAGGAGCCCCCACCCCGACCCGACAGGGTGGTGGGGAGGTTAGTCATGGTGACTCGGTCAGCAGAATGGCAGTAGGCCCATACATCCGTGCGCACCAGAGGCCCAACCTTATTTCAGGTTCTGTAATCTAGATCCGGTCGGTGCGGGATTGGAACCTTGATCCATTAATATCTCCTCCACTCGACCTACTAGCTACCCATACGGGTTCCACCTTTTTTACCAAGAAAGCTACCAACTACAAGTCTACAACTCTCCACTTCTCCGGTACTGCAACAAGAAAATTTATACCCATACGTTTTGAGCTGTTTGGGTTCGGCTTTAGGCTTCTTTCTCAATACACAACAACAGGAAGGGCAGAGCAATTTAGGGCATAAGAATCTGTTAAGAATAAGAAGAGATGCCAACACTAACAAAGTTATATTCAATGGCAGAAGCAGCTGAGCACAATACTAAGGACGACTGTTGGGTTGTTATTGACGGCAAGGTCCCTCTATACTGTTTTTCATCTATATTTTAGATCTAGTTCAAAAAACTCGATTTTAATGGCATAAGTATTTCTGCTATGTTTAGTTTGATTGAATGGTATAATTTGATTCCATTTTATCTGAATTCGAAAGTTATCAAACAAACAAAAATTGCTAGCGAAAAACGTGTGAAGTTGTGGCTGTGAATCTGAAATTGCTTGATTTCGATAGTATATGAGATGGTTATAATTGGTGTTTGTGACAAGATGGCTTGCCTACCTGTAAAAGACTACCGCATCAAAATATACGGAGTATGTTTTTACTAGAAACTAACAAGACCTGTACTCAATGCCAACTTGAACGACACGTTAACTTATGGTAGCTTAGGTGGTCCAAATGGTTTAAAACTGAAAATTAGGAACACCGTACTCCCTTTCTCTGTCTTGTTTTACATGCTCATAAAGTGTTTGGTACATTATCTGAAAGAACTTTGTTTAAATTATTAAGTTTAAATGTGATGTTTACATGGCACCAAGTCCAGATTTATCAAACAGGATGAAAACATATTTCAACTTGAATACCAAAAACATTATATCCAATTCAGTTAACTCAGCCGATTCCAGTAAACTCTTATGTCATTCTTATGAAATCATTTTTTACTTCACACTAAAGTTTTTGAGTCATTGCCACATCATACTTTTTACGAATCACCATGTGCGGCGATGAAATTTGGTTTGTGTTTGTAACCACATGCTCAAATGGTTAGGAGAGTTGAATTCTTGATTACTTTTTGCATCAAGTAAAACATATATTCCTATTTTTAAAGGGTCTCATGTGACTAGCTGGCTCACATGTCATCTCGAAATATAGAGAAATCCTATATTTAGACAAGGACAAAATGGATGTAACCAAGGTGTTAAAAACCAAACCATAATGGAGTTAGGACAACCTATTGATTATTGAACCAGTACTGGAGTGAACTGGTAGAGAACCGTCTGAACCTGTTGATAACTGCTGAAAACTGTGTGAACTGGTGGTTGAATCAGTTCACGGGATTGGGTTCTATTTCTGTGCTGTATCCCAAAATGATAGTTTTCATCGGATCATGCTATTCAAAATGAGACAACATATAATGATTTTAATTTAAATGAATTTTGTGGTGAACAGTGTTGCTTGGTAGTATTTACTAAGTATAAATTTCTTTTGGATGAAATGTAATTGCTACAAGTTATAATTTGCCTTTTCCCTTGTGAAAAAGTGGCAAGTTGCTCTTATAGATGCCCAATCCTATAGGACAAATCTCTGCAATATCCTCCTGCAAATATTAGCTCTATTTGACCCAATCAACTGTATTGGCTCCAACGAGTAATATATAACAATTGACAACTAAACTTTTTGTGAATCATATTCTCTTTTACTCCATCTAATTGTTTGACTCTTCTTAGGATTCTCCAAACCTCACATGCCTGGTCTTTCCTTTTTATGACCACATTGTCATTTGTTGTGAGCCCTCTCAGACAAGTCTTTCTTTATCGTTTTTTGTGTGTGTTCTTCTAGCTGCATGCCTATAATTTGTCCTACAGTTGATTTCTCATTTAAGCGCAATGGGAACAGATATCTGAAACTTCAAATGAGCTGACCTGTTCCACATGTCCAGGTGTACGACGTTTCATTGTATTTGGATGAACATCCAGGTGGAGGTGATGTCATACAAGCTGTCACCGGTAAAATAGATTTGATTTTTTTGATGCAGTGTATTTTCATGTCCTCCCATCACTAAGGGTCTGTTTGGATGGCGGATTTTGGAAAAAGGCCTATCTTGATAAATAGAATGTTTTTCAAGATGAATTAAAATGTTACTACCTCTGTCCCATTTCAATGAACTATTTACACGGTCAACTTAACTCTATTCAAATCTTTAATTTTATATAATAGATTTTGATCGTCTTCGAATTCTTTTTTGCTACGTAGTATTTAGTAGAACTTCTATGCAGTTTCAGAAATGATATATACTAGACTTAATATATACTACATATTCATCAAGGAAATAAATATGTTGTACAAGATAGCATGTTATGTTTCAATTTTTATAAAATTTCAAATATTATAGTAATATACACTAGCACTCACCTCCAGAATTATCCAAAACACTTCATTCAAATAGATCCTATATAGTTTTGCATATGAAAGGGTCAAAAGGGGGAATAATTAATATAAAGGTCTCAAACAGTGATAAAACCGAACAGTGTAATCGGTGTTCTTAAAAAAGCTGATGTTAGATGGATATGGTCTTTGTTCTTACTTTGACTTGGATTGAATTTGGTTGAAGGAAAAGATGCAACAGATGACTTTGAAGATGTGGGACATAGCAAGAGCGCAAGGAAAATCATGGAGAAATTCTTCATCGGGGAGCTTGATCCCTCATCTGGTCCCACGATCCCTAAACTTGAGATCGTTGCGAAGCAGTCCAGCAGCAGCTATATAACCCAGAAGGTCATGGATTTCACCAAACAGTATTGGGTTCTTCCCGCCACAATTGTTGGTATCTCCGTAGTAGCCAGTTGTGTGTTCCTGCATAAGAAGTAGTACTAATAGGGAGTAATAGCTTGAGGGATCATCATCACTTCTCGCAAAATATTGCAGCAATTCCTCTGGAGGATGCTATTATTTGGCATTTTGAATTTTAGAATTAAATGCCCTGCAATGAGTTTTTGTTACAACATTTTGAGTAACACTTTAGGGGTATGAGTATGATTACATATAGTTTGTTATTGTTTTAAGGTTGTTGTTCTTTATGAATTTGGAGCGTTGGATTTTAGAATTTTTGAAATAAAGTGAACTTTATTTGTTTTTGCGTGGAGGGCATTGTCTTAACAAAAATGTGCAACTTGATGAGGTCATGAGGCACTGTTTTATACTATCTTCTGTTCTTTAAAAATTGCATTAGACTTTTACGCTTGTTAACGCATAATTTTGACTATAATTATATTTAATTACATATTGGCGAACATTAAAAAAAGTTAATATTTTGGAAGTTTACATTAATGGAAATTTAAGAACATTTTATATATAATAATTTGATTATATGTATTATTAGAAAATCGTAGCATATGTGAATAGTGCATAAATCTCAATGTTGCAACTTTTAAAGAACGAAGTAAGTACTATATATTATTTTCTTATGTCATGGAAAGAATCATTCATATTGAGATCGGATCCCGTTATTGATATTACTATTTATTATATATGAAGTATATTTCTTGCAAATATATCCTTACATAGTTAGAGGTCAAACCCGATCTTCCAAAATAAAAGTAACATCACAAATTATATCATGGGATCCACACATCATGTGCATGGTGTACCAATCCCACTAATCTCTTATTTCTCTCAACGTATACGTATTCTATTTGAACATTGCTTTTTCTCTTTGCTTTTTTTTCTTTCCTTTTTTACAATTCTTTTTTCTCCATCAAACACTAAAAATGTAATTGCAATATAGATTATGTTTGGGATGATTGTCGTAGATAGTTTTCAAGTTTAGTAGTTAAACTTTACATGATAAATGTGTCTTGGACAAATGCCTTGTCATTTGATGATATTATGACACTTTTATGAAGAATGTCAAGAATGTAGGTCTTTAACCTAGAACAAATATTATAAGAGGTAAGAAAACACAACAACAACAAGATAAATGTGTCTTGCACAAAAAATCTAAAATTGTAAACCATATTTGCATATTTCATAAGAGATCCAACTTGAGTTACTTGACTTTAAGGGTTGCAAAATTTATTGGCAACAATCTTGGAAGTTTTTTCAAGCTTGATGAAACCAATTTGAGGAGCAGTGGAAGACCTAGTTGACGATCCGAGTCCGACTCGATATAGGGGAACCTCTTAGGAAAAGTTTGAAAGTTCATAAAACAAATGAGGATTGTTTATAGGTAAATCTCATATATGAAAAACTTCCAAATTTCTCCTTTGCTTGTGGCATTATCAGTCACGGAGATAGGGTCTATCCTCAGGTACTAAGACAACCTAACTCGGAACAAGTGAAGGTAATAAGTGGCTTGTGTTAGAGAAAGGAAATAAAAAGTCTTAATAATGATATGGGAATGGAGGTGTCTACACCGGCGAGAGAGCTCGTGAATATGGGATCTGGTTCTCATATGGGTGAGATTAAGGATACATTGAAGCAGAAGGAATGTATACTAGTAGCTGAGCAAAAGCGGCGTCGGGCGGAATAGGAGACGTCAATGGAAGCACGCACAATGGTGGAGGTTGAAATCAGTGCGCGAGAAAAATGGGGTTGCGACGAGCTCTAGACAATAGGCTCGCCAGGAAAACGGAAGATGAGCTGCGCAAGCTGGTAGTTTTATTTTTTGTCACTTTCATCTTTATTTTGAACTTTTTCATTCGTTTATTGCTATATTGATTTTGGTTTTATTAGTCAGGACACTAGGTTGTTTTTATTGTGACTAAGGTGTGGAGCACTCAAGGGGCAAGCTCTTTCTTATGGTCATAGTAGGCTTTAAGTTGCCCGTTCAGTGATTAGCGAATTGTTGTTCTCTTAGCACAACTTAAATTTTACAAAATAAATGTGTCTTGGATAAATACCTTGTAGTGTGGTGATATTATGACATTTTTAAGAAGAATGTCACAGGTTTGAACTTCATTTCAATTCAAGAATATTGATCTTTAACATAGAACAAATATTATAATAGGTTAGAACACACACAAAAAACTCTAGATTTGAATCCTCTTGATGTGTATGCTCTGAGAAAATGCTAAACTATTCCATTACTAATTACTCTAATTTATGATCAGCCACAACCTCTCCATACATCAAGGTGTTTGATTGTTTGTGTTAGACATCACATCTACTGATGTGAGAAATGCTACTCTCTCCGTCTCATTCAAAGATTGTCATTTTTTTTGGTGACCCATATAAAGATTCTCATTTGTACTTTAGGAAATAATTAACACTCTTAAATGATAATTTAATCATCAAATATTAATAATAATACATCTGTTGGGTTAATGGCCAACCAGGGCCGGCCCATCAACCCCTAGGGACGTACGTAGCCCAGCATAACCAAGCTGCAGGGCCCAAGGGCCAGGGGACGTACGTAACCCAACATAGCCAGGCTTCAGGGCCCAAGGGCCAAGGGACGTACGTAGCCCAGCATAGCCAGGCTTCAGGGCCCAAGGGCCAGGGGACGTACGTAGCCCAGCATAGCCAGGCTTCAGGGCCCAAGGGCCAGGGGACGTACGTAGCCCAACATAGCCAGGCTTCAGGGCCCAAGGGCCAGGGGACGTACGTAGCCCAGCATAGCCAGGCTTCAGGGCCCAAGGGCCAGGGGACATACGTAGCTCCGCAGGACCAAGCTTCAGGGCCTAAGGGCCAGGGGACGAGCATCTTGTGGGCTACACTCAAAGGCCCAGGCTGCCACCAGAGGGCTGAGTCCAGTTTAGGGGACATACGTCCCCACGCTATGGCGGGAAACCAAGATCTTGGCGGGAAGCGCATTAAATGCGGGATATTTGGTGGGTGGGATCATGTCGCCCACAGCCGGCCACGTCAGCCCCCCAACCACCATGGGATACTATAAATAGTCGCATTTATTTCATTGTAAGGGGTTCACACTTTGACTCTCGAGTATTGTAATAGCATCAACAGCACGTAGCGCAGCTTAGTAAGTTCGGCCCCTCGGTTTGTAATAGCAGGAGTGAATGAAATACAGTTATTAGCCCACTCCTCGTTGTCTAGTGATCTTATTTTGCCCTCCACCCATTCGAAACCCCCAGGTTACGTGTTGGGCCTGCGGGTTGAGGGGAATAAACCTCAACACTGGCGCCGTCTGTGGGAAACTGACCAAAAAGTTCTTGTAATCAAGCTCTCCATTAAAAACTCTAAAACAACCACAAGGCAAGTAAAATGAACACTAACAACGCGGGTAACTCTCAAGACCTCTCCTCACGATTGGCTCACAGCAGAAGGAGTCGCAACCAGGCGACGGGGGGCCAGACCACCAGTCTGTGGAGTCGGGGAGATTTCGGGATACTCACTGACCTGATCCCCCAGGAGCTCCGTAGGGACCCCAACACGCTACGGGAGATCGCGGATACCATCCGCCGACTAGCGGACAAGCGGGAGGAAGAGCATGTGCATACGGCCAACACCGAGTGGACCCCGCTCTCACCCATCCGCCCCATGCAGTCTTTCGCCGAGCATACCGGTGAAAATAGCCATCCCCGCCGTTCGGTCAATTCCAGGATAACTCAGAACACCCGCTCTCCGGGTATGGGGGGCGCCGCGGGAGCCAGGCTTTTCAGGGAAACGCAGCGCCACACGGTCCAGGACCCCAAGCCGGTCATGCCCCGCGATGGACGGGCGGCTTGGGAACACACTCCCGTGGTGCATGGCATGATGGCGGAGGCCCTAATATACCATGGTCAACATAATCATGGCAACATGACAAGGGGAACACCTTAGCATTGGTAACTCCCGCGCCCGCTGGGGCTGATCCGCGAGATGCCATGCTCATGGACGTGCATAGACAGATACACGAGCTGAATCGACGTATGGAGAATACACAGGCACAGCCCAGGATTGCACTCTCACCCCCTTTCACTGACAGGGTCATGGCAGTAGACATTGCACGGGACGTTCGGCCTCCTGGAACACTGACTTATGATGGGGCCGGGGACCCCAAGGCCCATCTACTATCTTATCAAGGAACACTCTCTATGTTGGGAGCCTCCGATGAGGCTGTTTGCAGACTTTTCTTCAGCACCCTCAGGGGACCAGCGCAAGAATGGTTCGGGCAGCTCAGGCCCGGGTCCATTGACAACTTTGAACAGTTATCCCGGTAGTTCATGGCTCAGTTCGCATCAAGCTCCACACCCAAGAAACACTTCAGTTGGTTGACGAACGTCCACCAGAACAAGAGAAAATCCTTATCTGCTTTCCTGATCAGGTGGAGGGACGAGACCCTGAAGGTGGAGGACCTACCGGAGAGCACCGACATCACCCTCTTTACCAATGTGTTGGCAACCAGGGACCTCTATCTGGACTTGAAAAGAAACCCCGGGAGCAACTACGCCGAGGTGCTGGCCCGTGCGCACAAATTCGCGGCAATCGAGGAAGAGATTTCGCAGTGGGATGGAACGGCGACCCCCGCAACGCGCAAGACATCGGATCGATTGGGTCCCGGGCCGGTAGAATCATCGGCACTTAAAAAGAAAAAGACGATCGGCGGTTACGTCCCCTGGGCCGCATAGGAACGCTAGGGGAACGACCCTCATATGGGCATGGGGCCTGCTCCTTTGGCCTACCCAATCAGCCAGATTTTTGGGGCCATCAAGGACAAGGGACTGCTCAAGGAGCCAGTGCCCACCAAGGGCTCATGATGGGCCGAGACACGGGAGCCTACTGCGAATATCACCGCAAGCAGGGACACCGTACAGACGATTGCCAAAGTCTGAAGTACGCCATCCAGCAGCTTATCGAGAGGGGGTATCTGGGTGAGTTCACCACAGGAGGAGCATACCAGGGCTCCTCACCGCAGCACATGAGGCCCTACAGCTGGCGCCGGGATGATCGGCGAGAGGCTGGGGTCAAGGAGGAGGATTTCCTTTATAACGGTAAGCGACCAGAGGCGTCCCTCGGGCCGGTCGGCACCAAGAAGAAGATAGAAATCAAGATGATTTTCGGGGGGGGGGGGGGGGGGGGGGGAACTGGGGATACCCTGGCAGAAAGAAAGAAGTTCGAGAAGGCCCTCCGGATAAATTCCATCTCATCACCTCCCACCAAAAAACATAAGGCCGAACCCATCACTTTCGGGACAGCGGATATACCGCAATCACCAGGACCGCACATGGATGAGTTGGTAATCAGCATGGATATCCGGGAGTGGATAATCCG